GTCCGCCTGCCAATGCAGGGGGCGCGGGTTCGTGCCCCGGCCGGGAAGATCCCACATGCCGCAGAGCGGCTGGGCCCGTGAGCCATGGCCGCTGAGCCTGCGCGTCCAGAGCCTGTGCTCCACAACGGGAGAGGCCACAGCGGTGAGAGGCCCGCGTACCGCAAAAAAAAAAAAAAAAAAGTGGCATGAACATGAACATCTCATTACATCTGAGATGTAAATGTATTTTTTAAAAAAAAAAAAAAAAAAAAGAAAGGCTATCTAAAAATAATGATGAGTTGGTTATGATGGAAGTCACCACTTACAACCACTGAGCTGGGTGTTGTGTACTTTCTTATTTAATCCCCATGGCAGCCCAATAAGGAAGTTTTATTCATTAGCTTCATTCTACGGATCAAGCACCTGGGGTTCAGCAAAGAAAATTCCTCAAGGCCAAACGGTCGGTAAGTGCCAGAGCTAAGATGTAAGTGCATATGTGTCAAATTCCAAAGTCATATGTCAATAGGAATGCAGTAAAGGGGTTGCAGGCTGTGGGGCTGTGTGGGGTCGGGGATGCTAGCCCAATCCTGGCTTCTCAGAGGAAGGGAATCTAAGCTGTAACTTGGAGGAAAAGATGAAGCCAGACTGGGGAGGCCAGAGAGGGGTGCTGAGGGAGGGAGAGGGCTGCTGGAAAGGAAGTCAAGTAGGAGGGAAGGAGTGTTCCAGGCGAGGGTAGGGAGTGAGGTGTGGTCACCAAGTGCAGCTCTGGAGGCAAAAGAGAATATGCTAATGATCCAGGTGCTACATAACCTGAGATGTCCCCAACTGGTTCAGGTAGAAATGGCAAGTATCAAAATGAACATATTAGGAAAAAATCTATGGAAAAGAGAGGCCTTTGAGTTTATACGGTCTGAATTCATACGTGTTCAATAATAGAACTGGCGTATGAGAATTCAGCAGTGATGTGAGCAAAGCTTATTACAGACACTGGATGACAAAGAAGGCTCTATTCTTAAGACCAGCAGTGTGCTTATCTTCTAAGATAATTGCCACCATCCATTCTAGAAGGGGATTTGACATTATCTACTGTAGTCCTTTCATTTAGTTAAAGAATCTAAGCCTCAGAGAGGGTCTGTGGCTTTCCTAGCAGCGGTCTAAATGGCCCTGAGCTGGCCCTGGGATATAGGGTGGTTGGTTCCAGACAGGATTCTTTTTTATTCAGCCCTACTTGGAGGTAAGTCATCAGAGAGGATGGAAATTATTTTACATAATTTAAATCATAAAAAATAATGAAGAAAAGGCACGGCTGACTGCTTCTTGTGGGACCCACTACCTCTCTGACTTAAGCAGCTCTCTATCAGTGTCCTTCATCTGGGCATCCAAAGCAGCTATTGCATAAACACAAGTTCAGGGACATGCTTATATAAGCATCTTTGTGGAGAGAAGTTCTGTCACAATCCCATGTGTATTTCCATAGCTTTCAAGGGGTCTCTGCTTCCCAAAGAAGTTTTACAATGGCAAAGTGCTTTTATTAAAAATCCAAAAGTCAGAGAATTTTTTCCAAAGCTTACATATTCAGTACTGTTGGATAATTTTATTTAATAGTATGTTTGAAACAGGTTTTTCCAATGTAAAGCTAGCCTATGTCTATAAACATAAGACAGTCTGAGGATAGTATGCTCAATCATCGTTATCATCAGTAATGATGGCTAATGCTTAATTAACACAATATGCTGCACAGAATTCTAAGACCCTCAATATTGCTGTACTTAATCTCAACACTACACTGTAAGGGCGGCGTTGTTATCACCCCCATGTTACAGGGAAGAAAACTCAACAACAAAAAGATTGAGTTAGTTGCCCTACGTTAGTGGTTCTCAAAGTGTGGTCATTAGACCAGTAGCATCAACATCATCTGGGAATTTACTAGAAATGCAAACCCTTGGGCCCCACCCTGGACCTGTGAATCAGAAGCCCCTTGTTTTAATAAGACCCTCAGGTGATTCATGCTTTTAGTCATCCAGTCTGAGAACCACAGCCCTAGGGCATCCACCTAAAAACTGAAGCCAGGATTTAAATATAGGTCCTTTTGCCCCAAATCACAGCTGGTAAATGACAGAGCTGAGACTCAAGCCAGGGCACCAACTGCTGGTTTACCTTCTCTGGTTTAAGCAGTCTAACTATGGACACAGTCTAACTAGGTTATTTAAGCCCTAACTGCCATTGGGACTTAATTTTATGACTCTCCTTTATGGAATAAACTTTGGGACAGCAACCTCTGCCCAGCTGTCCCCACTGGTTTGTCCTACACCATGACATTCTCAGTGAGGGGATCCAAACACTGGGGATTACCGAATTTGAGCCATCTGACCTTGGATAATTTTTACAAGCCTTGAGGACAGGCATTTAGGCAGGCTCTTACTCCAAACATGTCTGGTTAAAAAATAATAATAATCAGTAGGTCAGATTGTCTTTATAAGAATTAACTTTTTTTTTAAAGATTTTTTTTTGATGTGGACCATTCTTTTAGTCTTTATTGAATTTGTTACAATATTGCTCCTGTTTTCTACTTTGGTTTTTTGGCCACGAGGCATGTGGGATCTTAGCTCCCCGACCAGGAATCGAACCCGCACCCCCTGCTTTGGAAGGTGAGTCTTAACCACTGGACCACCAGGGAAGTCCCTAAAAATTAACTTTTTATCTTGTAATACAAATCTGTAGGAGCATTTCACAAGGCAGTTAGAACCTCATTTTAAATAAATGCTCTCCTGGTACAACTGAGCCACAGTGTTGAAAGGTGAAGCCGATGTTTGGTGTTAAGTGAGAGCTCTAGATTCTCAAGTTCACCACAATAGCTGGAAAGACCTTGTCCACACTGAAAATGTAAAGTATACTGCATACACCCACAAAAGACACTCTCCATGTTGCCTTCAACCTTGGTTTAACCTCTTTGACCTCTTCCCTCCAAACTCATTTTGAGGTGTTGAAAATACACATTACAGCTGCAAGTCCACATTTTGGGAATAAGGACAGTTTTAGAAATAATGACTTGAAATCAGAGTAGATTATGTCCCTTTTTCAGTTTACAAGTTGCATAATTTCACTGGCTTCTTGCATCTTGGGAAGGAAGACTCTTCCAACATATTCCAAACATCCCACAAATCAGTTTACAAAAAGCTTACTCTTCTGATTGCGTATAAGACAAAATGTAACACCAAGTGCAGGGCATTCTTGAAACAGCAGATGCCTGGGAGGGAGCTCTGTGCCACAGAGTCTGAATGACCTCATACCTCGAGATTAGCAGGCCCCCCAGATCAGGGAGTGGTACCTAAACTTTTTTTTCTTTTTATTAGTAAGTCCCTTTAACTCTAGTTCCAGGTTTCGTTCCTCCTTGGCTTTCATAAGGAGTGTCACCAGCGCAGTGACACAATGTTCTGTTTGTTTGCACTAGCAAACACAGGAAGTGTAATGGGGGAAAGGACTGCTAATAAAAATGAGTTCAGACACTTGATATAGATGTGACAAATGCCAAGCCGACTTCCATGTAGGAGATTCTGGTCTCATTTTATGTGAAAATAAGGTACTAAAACAAGACAAAAGGAGTGATAGGACTCTAATTTCAGCTTTTTAAACAATATAAATACACTGATATCTTATAATAAATATCCCCTACGGTGGGGTCATTTTTTATGTGTTTAAATTTGTGTATGTGTGTGTGTATCCATCTATCTATCTATTATCTATCAGTCTATCTTTTATCTATAAAGTGATAAGTCTTTCTACACATTAATATAGAACTTGGATTTCTCAACAATCTGAGAATACCAAAAAAGGCCTAGTCAGTGCCTACACAGTTATGATAAATAGTATGGTATGATGTGTCCTTAATAGAATTAAAACAGGTATTATTTGATGTTAAATTATTAACCCCAAATTGGAATATCTTAAAAGACATATATCAAATAGTAGGAATTAAAATATGCCTAAAGAAAAAATAAAATTATATACAGAATAGTTATGTGGTAAAAACTTTACCAGTTTATTTTCTTCTCTCTCTCTCTCTCTCTCTATCTATATATATATACATTTATATACATATATATAATATAATAATTTGATATGATAGATAATATAGATATAGCACATGTGTATATATAATACATATATTTCATAGATACATATAGAGAAATAGAACTGATATTGTATATATAAGAAATATGTCTTCATATATATATATATATATATACATATATATAGAGAACAATTCTTTCTCACCCGGAAGGAGTAATGCCATTCTTCATTTAACTACCATACTCATAAGATGATGGAGTTAATAGTCAGAAATGGGTCTAAAAGATCAACAGGATCAAAGGGGAGGAAATACGTACCCTCATGAGAATGCTCAAGAGCTTCTAACATTTAACCAGTCATTTTTCTTGGCAGTCCCATTTTAGGTGAAAATGAAGGAGCGAGGAGAAAAGAAGATGCCAGGATGGAGAATAATAACAGGGCAGAGGCAACAGAAACAAAATGATACATTCTTAAAAGCCATCTGTTTCTGTCACAGTGGCTATTCTCATCCCTCTCCCTTTACCTCACTGATACCCTGATGCCCTGTTTCGTTTTCATTTTTCCAGTTGTGACATGTTCAGTTGGTCTTTGATACCAGGTGGAGAAAGGAGTGCAGCCCAGGCCAGTACAAACTTATTCATAGGACTGTCTCCACTTTCCCATCACCCCCACCAGCCTGCCTTCTAATGGCTCCAGTAATCTGGATTTAAATCACATGTTAAATCCCATGTCCTACTTGATCTTAATGACTAATCTGCTCTTCTGCCAAGAAGAGATGACATTCCTTGTCATCCCTCCAGTTCCTGTGGTCAAAATTCATTAATTCAGGCTTCCCTGGTGGCGCAGTGGTTGAGAGTCCGCCTGCCGAGGCAGGGGACACGGGTTCGTGCCTCGGTCCGAGAAGATCCCACATGCCGTGGAGCGGCTGGGCCCGTGAGCCATGGCCGCTGAGCCTGCGCGTCCGGAGCCTGTGCTCCGCAACGGAGAGGCCACAATGGTGAGGCCCGCGTACCGAAAAAAAAAAAAAAATTAATTAATTCAACCAATACTTATTAAGCATTACTATGAAGTAGGCAGTGGGCGAGCAACGAAACTCCCCCTGCCTCCTCAGTTCTCTATAAAAATACAGAGAGATCAACTATTCTCCTTTGAACTTAGAATATGTATTCTCCAAGGAGCTGAGCTGAAAAAACTGTTTAATGCATTTAAAAATATGCACTTTAAAATTGTTTAATCCATTAAAGTACCTAGCAAGCTTACCGGTTGATAGTAATTTATTTTACCAACATTTATGTAATGAAAAGATTTTATTCTTGGGAAAGAAAATTAATTTATTTTTTATTCTGTCTTCAGACTGGTCTGAAACTATCAGAATTATAGCTTTTGGGTTCGATCACAAAAAGGAAATTGATTATAGTGAACTCAAACAGCCAAATCAGATTTTTCTGCCAAATAAGTGCAATGGAAACAAGACCTCATCTAAATGTGGAAATCATGATCTCATGCCAGAATTTTAGGGAAATGAAGTTTATGTCTAATGACCATTAATATTAGTAATTATTTACTCCTTCTTTGTTAAAAGTGTACCTGAAAGAACTACTCTAAGATATCTGCCTTTATAGCGTTTTTAAAAAATAATTTGGAAAAAAATTAAAAATAGGTATTCTGTCAAGGTTGTGTTATTTCAGGTAATTATGTTTTCTTCTCCAAGCATGTCTTTATCATTCTTTCATATCATATATGTTTTGCACTTTTTAAAATTGAAGTATAGTTAATTTATAATGTTGTGTTAGTTTCAAGTGTACAGCAAAGTGATTCAGTTATACATATATATATTATTTTTCAGATTCTTTTCCATTATAGGTTATTATATCATATTTTATAATGCAAAGATATACATCAGCTTTAACCGTATTTTTCTACATTCCCTACTGTGTTAAGGAAAAAGTTGTATAAGCTCACAAAATATGAACATGCTCTACTGCTTGTACTTTTTGTTGTTGTTGTTTGGATGGCTTTGCTTTGTTTTTATTGTTGCCCAGTTGAGTAAATTTAAAACTGTCATAATATTTTGTAGAAAACTATTCCTAGATGAATGAAATCTTTCTGAAATCCCCCAAATCTCACATTGGCCAACTTAGACCTACTGGCATGAATAGTACTCAGCTTCCTGCTTCTGACCCACAATTTTATATGTGAAAGTCATTGTCAAAGCTTGCAAGACAAGTCATGTTGAACATTTCCAGATACCAAACCTCCCCTCTGTGATTTCAAACAGTCAACAGCTGCTCAGCCTGTTCTTCCCATCACTGTTCATGACTGCATCAGAAAAAATCCACCTTTAAAAAAATTGTGAAAACTCAGAACAGCAAAGCAACCAGTGGCAACTAAGTGACACTGTGCTGTTATCGACCTCAGCTCATTTTCTTGCGCTCTTGTCCAATGGGACTAAACTCTCTTTACAGCAAGGGATGGTTTCAGCTGACCTGCTATGAATGTCCCAAGTGAGTCACTGCCGTTAACTCCATCAGTGCCATTTGCTGTCTACTTGGACACTTCTGAACAGCTGCTGGGCTCCAGTGCCAACTTCTAACTGGAAATATGGTTGGTCTGACTCAGTTTCAGAAGGGGAAAAGAAGGAGGGGGAGGGAGGGAGAGGAGGAGAGAATAAACTCACATGTCTCCTCTCAAAGAAGACTGACAACTCTGTTTTTTTCCATTGATTATGGTGGAAACACATTTTGAAGAAGTGAGAGTACTAAACCCAGTTTGTCACATTCTCTCTGCATTGTTTCCTATTATTTTATTCATGAAGTTGGGTTGGGGTTTTATATTGAAAGTATGTGTTGATGTGGAAATTTGCAGCCCATATGATGTCACCCCATTTCCACTTTTTTTAGACCCATTCATCTTATTTTCCAAATACAAAAGTGAATATTTCCTTTACTCTGAAAATATTTTTCATAGAATTGAAAATCCATTTTGGTTCAATCAACTTTTTTGGAGCATTTGCTAGAACAGGCTTCTGGACTAGACATTAACAAGGATTCTGAGAAATATCAGACATGATCCTTGGATTCAAGAATTTGTAATAAAATGAAGAGAAAAGGTCTGTTTAAATAGATGGTCCAGGAACAATATGAGAGAGTGTGCATAAAAGTGCCAGATGCCTGATACAGCTACCAGGGTCTGCAAGAACTCAGAGAAGGGCTCTGGGCTGGTGGTTTTAAATCTGGAATGGTGGTAACTGATACTAACAAGTGAAATTAAATTGACTCTATAAACATGGGCTATGTGTCATAGTTGGGCATGAAGCCTAAGTGTTTAAGTTAAAGGCTGAAATATGCTCACATGACCTCAGCATTTCATTTCAGGGGAAGTCTGTGATTTATATGTGCATTGTTGTGTGTACAAGCACATATATACATTTTTCAAAAACTTTTATATTACCAGAGATACCAAGGAGGTGGCTGTGTACTTGTTCTCTTGGGAATATTTATCTACCATCTTGTTGGCAGTGAACAAACAGCTATCCAGGTTTCTGGGGCTTATGAAGAGTTAGAAAATAGATTAATAGGGTAAGAAGAGTTCTTTCATTTTGAAAGCTCCCCCCATCCAACTATTTTCACTTCTTGAAAGGAGATTTCAGACTACAGACAGGTTAATTCTTACTTTCTTTTATGATGATGAGGTAACTATAGACTTAGAGAATTTTCAACACAATTTCAGTGCTTACAAATATTTTCCCTGAGTGGTAAACATAGAAATCTTATTCCATGATCATTGGTACTTTGAGTTAATTTACCTCTCACTATGTTACTCACTCCAATTCATTGAGATTTGGGTTAAGAGAGCTTGTTCTCCAAATGCCAGGACAATGTTTATTTACTAAAAAAGTGAGTATACATAATTAATCTCAAAGTCATTGATGTGACCACAAATTCAATATGGAAAAAAATAAACCTGAAGTTTTAATCCTGAGGAGGTTTGCAAATATTAGAAAATAATAAATCTAAAAGAATGCTTTAATTTGGGACCCTAAAACCAACTAGCAGTTTTTCCTGTAGTTTCCCAATTCATATCTAAGGCTGCTAGAATAATTAATGAACTATTACCAGTTTTTCCTAGGTGCAAAAAGAGAAATCCTGTTTATAATTTAAAAAATCACACTTATCTAGAATTACGTATAATCAAGTCTGTCTTAGACCTTGTCTATGGGCTTGATGGGAACCAAAGAGCTTTTCTTCAAATGGGGAGCCAAGCCAAAAGGGCAGCGGGTCTGAAGGGAACTAAGAGTTATGTGGTGAATAAGTACAATGAATGGGACTACAAGTCAACACATGAGTAATCTTGCTTTAATACTGTGGTACACTGGTAAACCCAGAAAGAGGCAGAGAAATAAGAAAGAGAAATAAGGAAGACGAGTTCTATGGAAAAATGGATGAAGACTTAATAATTTATTATATATGTGTGAGGGGATGTTAGAAAATTCCAAAGGGAAGAAAACAATTGAGCTGGGTTCTTAGAATGCCTTTGCTACATGGTTTTGGGCAGAGAGTAAGAACAATATTCATCCAATAAATATTTATTGAAGTGCCTATTATAAACCAGGCATTCTTCTGAATAGTAGAGATACTATAGTGAACCAAACCAAGTCTTTGATATCAAGATCCTTACATTCCAATGTGGAAGACATGTAATAATATATATGTATGTGTATATATATATGTGTGTGTGTGTGTGTGTGTGTGTGTGTGTGTGTGTGTGTGTGTGTGTACACACACAGATCTGTATTACACCACCAAGTAGACATTATAATGTTTATAATATATTATAATAAGTATCTCATATAATTATAAAATATAATGTCAAATGGCTAAAGAGAAAAATAATGCGGGGTAAGGTGATGTTAACTGCAAGTACGTGGCAGTGTGAAAATGCAGGTGACTTTCATGCATCAGCAAGATTTGATTGTCCTTAGAGCCCAGTGTACTTGGTTGGAGTAGGGGTAGGAAAGGGGTGAGAAAATTACTACAGAGGAGGTAAAATGTTCAGATTTCAAGTCTCATATGGTCTTATAAGTCCTGCTAAGAAATTTTGGTTTTCTCTGTAGGCAAATCAGGAGCCATGGAAGAATTCTTAAGCAGCGAAGTGACATGATGTGATCTGTTTTTATATAGATCATGGCAGTATAGAAAGAGGATATGGGGTGAATAACTCCAGAGATAGTTGTCTCAGTTAGGGAGCTAGTTGCTGTGTACTACCAGTTTAGTTGAGAGGATTAAATGCAGGCTACAGTGTATTTTGTAGTCTGAGCTCTAGAGAGAAGGAATTCTAGACCAGATGACCACTGTGAATAGTTAACCCAGTTGTGGTCAGCTTGCCTAGTGGACCAGAATTGAGAGGTTTCTCCCAGCTCCATATTCTGCCTGTCTGGAATTTTTGCTTCTGGTAATAGCAGAGTAGTTTCTGTTGTTCAAACGGTACCACAGTTAACAACTATGCATCCTGGATAAAGTTTTAAAATATCAATTACTGAAGACATTGGAAAGACACAAAAAGAAGGCAGAGACTGGGAGACAGTGGATATTTGGAAGAAGGAAATAGCACTGATAAGTCTTCTGCTTCTTGCAGTTGTTTTGTTGTTTGTTTGTGCCAGATACAAGGTCCCAGTCTGCCAATTAAAACTTGGATAAAAAAGTAATAGTTTTAGAGGCTTGAAGAGCCTGAATACACATTTTAGGGAGACCAAACAAGATAGGAGACAGCCAGAGAATTATATACAAGATTTTGTGTATAAATTCTGTCTACATCTCTGAATGATCCTTGAAATATGCATGTACAGGGCAGACTCCAAGCAGTTCAGCTGAAGCTAAAGGAAGTAAACATAGATTTCAGCTGCTGCCCAACACAGGGATGACAGAATTGAAATTCAGTTCTAACCAAATTAACTTCCACTTATAGCAAAAGAATCAATAATCTTTGGAGGAATATAACAGAATCCAGTGTCTCTGAAACATATTTTTCACAATGTCCAGTATTACTAGACATACAAGGCAAACTTACTAAACATACAAAGAAACAAGAAAACATAACAGAAACCCAAGATAAAAGACTTAATAGAATTTGGCCTCAAAATGACCCAGACATTGGGATTAGCAGACAAGGATTTTAGAGTAAATATCATAACTATGATCCAAAATATGAAGAAAATGTATGTGGAATAAATGAAAAAGTGCTAAATAGAAACTGTAAATAATAACAAAGTAGAACTGAAAACTCCAATACCTGAGAAAAAAATTAACTGGATGGGTTTAACAACTAGGAGATGACACAAGAAAAAGCCAATGATGTTGAAGATAGATCGATACAGTTATAAAGTCTGAAGAACAGGAGGAAAAAAGATTGGCCTGTGGGACAATATCAGAAGTCCAAATATACATGTAATTTGAGTCCTAGAAAGAATAGGGCATAAGAAATATTTGAAGTAGTAATACCTGAAAATTTCCCAAATTTGGTGAGACAATTCCAGATTCAAGAAGATCAGCAAACTCAATCAAGATCCCCCCAAAATCATAGCAAGGCCCATAAAGGTTAATTTAAAGAAAACCAAAGATTACAAAAAGTTCTTAAAGCAGCCAGGGAAAAATGACACATTGTATGTAGTGAAACAACATTATAAATGACTGCTAACTTCTCATCAGAAACTATGGAAGCCAGAAGGCAATGGATCAATTTGTTGAAATGATTGGAAAAAAAAAAACTTTCAAGTTAGAATTCTATATCTAATGAAAAGAATCCTCAAGAATGAAAGCAAACTAAAGCCATTTTTAATTAAATAAAAATTAAGAGAATTTATTGCCAGCAATCTGTACTACAAGATATGCTTTAAGGAGCTCTTCAGACTGAGGGAATTGATACTAGGTATAAATTTCCTCTTTTGAAAAGAATGAAGAACACTAGAAATAGTAAATATGTGGTTAAATAAAAAAGGCTATTTAAAACAAACAATTACAACTTTGTATTATGAGATTTATAAAGCATGTAGGTAATATTTATGACAACTATGGCAAAAAGTATAAGATACATGGACCTACATAAGTGCTAAGTTTGTGTATTTTACATGAAGTGGTATGATATTAATTCTAAGTGGACTGTTAAAATTTAAGAATGTGTACAGCAGTCCTTAGAGCAACAACTGAAAATTAATGCAAAGCGGTGTAACTACAAAGCCAATACAGACAGTCCCTGACTTATGATGTTTCAAGTTATGATTTTGCAACTTTAGAGTGTTGTGAAAGCAATATGCATTCAGTAGAAACCATTCTTTAAATTTTGAATGTTTATCTTTTCCCAGGCTAACAATGTGTGGTAGGATACTCCCTTGTGATTCTGGGCATCAGCAGCAAGCCACAGCTCCCAGTCAGCCATGTAATCACATGGGTAAGCAACCAATACACTTTCAACCATTCTGTACCCATACAGCCATTCTGTTTTTCACTTTCAGTACAGTATTCATTAAATTATATGATATATTCAACACTTGATTGTAAAATAGGATTTGTGTTAGATGATTTTGCCCAACTGTAGGACATTTAATGTAGGCTAGGCTAAGCTATGATGTTTGGTAGGTTAAGTGTACTAAATGCACTTTCGACATAATATTTTCAACATATGATGAGTTTATCAGGACATAACCCCATTGTAATTCAAGGAAGATCTGTAGATAAATTAAAATCACTTCTAAAAAATATATAGTTAGCCCAAAACAAAGCAGGTATAAGGCTTTAATTTCCTTCTCTAGATACACTCCCTGGCGATTTCATTCACTTCCATTGATTGAACTGTCACTGATAAGATGACTTAAAAAATTACAAAAGCTAAACATCTATCACCAGTCAACATCTTTCTCCTAAGATCCAGACAATATGTCTAACACAGAAGTAAAAATGAGAAGCCCATCAGCTAGATACAGCCTATTTTTTTTTAAATTCAGGATATTTGGAAACTGGAATTTTTTTATATTACAATCCAAATTTCAAGATCTTCCTGGAAAAAAAAGTGAAAATTTGGAATACAGATCCTGAATTCCTACAACAGCATCATCATAGTAAGCTGCATAGTGGCTGTGTTCTTTAAACTGGACATTTACCATTCTCTACATATTGCATGACTGTTGAATGAAAAAAACAGGTGAATGAATTATATCATTAAATCTGCTGATATGAATACTATAAAGCTTATAATGTAATCTGTGAGGCATTAGCTTTTTTGTCAACCCAGTCACATCAACCTGAACTGAGTTTGCAGTCAACACTTTTCCCAAGGAAGTTCAGTTGAAGTAGGTCTCTCCATTTTGTATCTTTGTGGTTGATTTTCTGAACCTCAGTGCTGACTTTCCTTGTTATCCCTGGTAGATTTCATCATTGGTTTTAGCCTATCATCATGGCCAGTTGAGATATTCCAGAATCCCAATTCTGTCATCTACCAGAGTAACTTTCCTTCTCAATTCTGTCCTTTAGAAATCTAACATTATGCCTTCTGCATTTTCCAATTTAAGTGGAACCAATCTTTGGTGACAGCTAAGCTGATGTGTAATTAGTGTCATTTAAAAATGATTCAACCTAGGAACAACTTCTCACAGATGACATTCTATTTTCACCTGAAGCTATATCAAGGTCTAGAGGCATGACTTTATGATTAATATTTTAATTAATGTTTGCTTGTTGACCCTAGTAAGCTTTTCTTTTGACACATTTTTCAATGTCAGGAACACAAAGAATTTTAACCGATAGTGGCAGAAAGAGAAAAATAGGTGGAACACGAGGGGGCAGTTGAGGTGTGGGTTGGACTCTGGTTAATGCTCAGAATTAGGCAGCCTCTGTGGAACTGTCTGATCCAAAGTTTCGTTGCTTTTTGCCCCTGGGAATGTGAGAACTGGGAATGGTTTGCAAATATTTTCATAACCCTCTCATCTTCGTCATTATAAAGAGGAGGATTCTTTCAGCTCCCTCTTCTTTTTACTGGCACACATTGAAAGAAAAATGCAAGACAATATACATCTGGGAAACAAAGGTTGCCACATACATATGCAGATTGTTAAACAATATTTGGGAAAATGAATAATTTTGATTTATGTGTGTAAATGTCTTGAATTTATGCCCTTTTATGATGAGTAACACACTGATTCTCTGCTATGCCTTAGGTTCTGAAACGAGGGAGAAGATACTTCATAATTTAGCAAAAACTGAAGATTTCTCAAGCTAATAATAGACCTATCATTTTGAATCAAAGATTATCTCCTGCAATAGATAGAAGAGTGAAGAGCCAGCCATCCTTTACCTTCAGTTGGTCCAAGAGGCTCTGTGCGTTAGTGTATCACATCCTTGAAGGAGGGGTGGTGTCCTGGCTTATATAAGAGAAACAAAAATAAACTGGTTTAGAGGTTTTAGAAATTATGTCTTAGATGTCTAGGAAAATCACCCCAAACAATCAAAACATTATACAACCTTTTTATTGAGATATAAAATCTATCACAGAAACCAGCCACTAAAACTCAAAGCATGCACCAATCCTTGTGGAGATCTTTTAGGAAGAATATGATCAAGTATGAGATATAACAATAAAACAGCGTGGTGTACTCTTCTCATCTTCAAAACACTTTACAAACTTTATCTAGTAAATGATCACAACCCATCACTGAGACGGCAGGTGGTGCTATTCATCCCACTCTACAGATGATAACCCCAGGGAAGGTGAGTGGGCCACCCCAGGACACACAGTGGGTATCAGAGATGACACAATCTTAGAAGTCCAGATATTCTCACTGTGACCAGAGACTGTCATGCTTTCAGAAAGCCCTGGTGTCCCAGGTTCCAGTCTGAAGGCCAGCAGACTAGAGATTCAGGAGAGTTGATAATTAAATGAAGTCTGAAGGTGGTCTCAAGAATTTCTGCTTGCTCAGAGAGGCTGGTCTTTTTATCCTATTTAAACCTTCAACTGATTGTACAAGGCCCACCCACATTTTAGAGAGTGATCTCTTTTTTCTTCACCGATTTAAATGCTAATCTCATCCAAAAACACACTTCAAGTTAAAATATAAAATTAACTGTCACAGTTACTATTATAAAATGGATAAACAATTCCAAGAGAATAATTACAATTTTTTTGAATAACTTGGTATCACTCACAACCAATTACTTCTTCAGAGTATAAATCAAGTAATGCCTTTTAATAGAGAGAAAGATGGATTATGACCAAAATTATTGTTTTACTACTATGGGTTATGATAAAGAATAGGAATTATGATACAAAACTTGAGATAGTTGTGTCAATCTGTGGAAGCTTCTGGGGAAGCTATGAGCCTGCTTGATGCCTTTGTGCAAATGCATTTTTTGACAAATGCTGGCAAGTGGAGAGCAGGCTGAATTTCATCCTTCAACGATAGTACATGAGGTCTGGTTTTGTGTGACCTGTGTATTCCACCATACCATATATGAACTGTACCCTTAGACTGTGTTGTAGTCTAAATCTGGTTACGTTCTAGTGAGGATGCAATTTAATGATGCGCCACTTATGTCAGAAAAAAGTTGATTACACTTATCAACAGGCCAAATATAATAAACTAGCATAAGTGAAATGGAATTTGCCTTCTTAAAGTTAGGCAGGAATTTGCCCTATTTTTAAATATGTCCTGGACAGATAAGCCAACTTTCTTAGGAACCTATTGTAGGGTCTTCAACCAAAACAGCAAAAAATTATTCCTTGTGTCAAAGCAAAATCACTTACATGGAATTTAAGTAAAGTCATCATTTTATTCTGTTATGAATGAAAGGAAACATTATGCATTTTCTTCTATTATTATAACACAATGAGTTTTAAGAACACGAAGGCTAACAGAAATTTGGGGTTGAGACTTAGAAGTAGACTGTTTTCTTCACTGGACATAAACAAAATGATTTTACATCCCAACAAGCAGATCAGAAAGCCAGACAATTTGAAGCTCACCTAAAAATTTTTCTCACAGATTTTCATTTCCCTGGCGTCTTTTAGCCTCTTGCCTTTCACAATAAAAATTAGAAAACAACCTATTTTCCCTTTCACAACCACTGGTAAGGTGTGGGCGTGACGAAAGAGAAGAGCCCTGCCAGCCAGTGCCAAACCAGTCCTAGGGATCATATGGTAAACCCTCACTTCTACCCACCAAAACCACCAATAAAAATAATGACAACAGTACCTCCCACTTGGGTACTGCTTTGATTTTCAATAGGATTAATTCACACTCCCTTACTTAAAACTCTTGCATGTTTATTGCCAATAAAATAAAAAAAGCAAAACAAAACACATACACACATAGTGTGAGGTAGTCATCACATAAGGGGATTGTAGCTAAAGGAAAAGGGAGATTTAGTAATTTGCACATGGTCACATCACAAGTAAGTGACAGATTTGGTTTGGAAACAAGATCCTCTTCCATATCCAACAATCTTTCCAGGTTCTGGAACATCCATAAGATGGGTGGGATGACTCTGCATCTCCGTCCCCTTCCTGCTTATACATCCTCCTCCATCAAGCCTGCAATTTAGTCCATTTTCCCCTGCCCATCCCCAGATGGAATGGCTTTGCAGAGGAGAAGCACATTGATCGGTTTCTCTTTCTCCAAACCATCCTGAAAGGCTGTGCCACATACACTGAGGCGAGCAGCAAAGTAATCCACTCGCTTTCCCACTCATCATGGTTGGACCTTATCTTCCCTTTTACCCACAGAGGTAGGATTCACAAGAAATATGTAATCCACTTTGGTCCCTAATTTTGTCTCATATACCCATATCTATATATTTCTGTGGCATCTCATGTTTATTTCATTCAAAGGTAATCTTTTTTCCTCTTTTCTGTTTCTGTTTTTGTTTTGTTTTGTTCTGTTTTTCTGATGTTTCCACAACTTACCTATATAATTTCAGGTTGTTTTTTCAGAATTCCAAGACCTTCCATGGAAAACTGAAGATGTACTCACATTTAACATATAATAATATTACTCAGTTGTTAAAATTGTTGGACCAGTTCTTCTTTTTCACTTTCTACCTCCCCTTTACCCCCATTGAAATTCATCTTTTTTGTCTCTGAGCACTTCTAAACAGCTAAAGATCCTTCAGTTCAAAAACTTAATCACTTTGACCAAACATTCCACTAAAGCAGAAGAGATATCAAGTGGGTTGATGTATTTTAAAAGGCCAAAGAAGATCAGTTTAATATTTTTTTCTCTTTTAAACATACTCAGTATGGCCACAGTTTTCTCAAAGAGTCCACAATTTTAATTTAAAAACATGTTTCCTTTTTGGGACAAAAACCACACTAAAATACCGAAACTATTCTCCTGGCTCATCCTCTTTGCACAATATCCTACTTGATACTGTGATGGATTGAAGACCTAACTAAATACCCCCAGTTCATACTGAGTACACACCCTCCAAGCTCCCCAAACCAGTTAGGCATTATGGAGGGAGTTTTGCAATACGAATATTTTCCCAGTTGCTCTCTCTTGGCCACACCCCAGAAACAAATGAAAATGTTCTAGAGTTTTCAGAGTGGTCAAACACAGCTCTGCTTCCAGCCTCTCCTGAGTCAGGCACACATTTGGCCTGAAGCTGTTTTGTTGTTTTGTACAAATGGAAGCCACTCAACTGCTTTTGCACCTTATTTTAATGTCTAATTATTTCAAAGTGATCTCTGTTTTTATTGACAATAATTACCCATCAAGTTCAAAGGCTCCCCCAATTATGAAACATCTTCTAAGGACTAGCTGATTAGTCCAGCTTGTTATTAAATTAGAAGTATATTCTTGACCTGTTTTTAGTGAAGATTTTATTATTGCTTTCCTAATAAGCTTAATCATCCCCTTGAAATCACATTAATATTTTTCTAATCTCTATTATCTCTATTAAGAGGCTATGGACTCACTCACTATTAGGTAAGCATTTAATGTCTCCTCTAATATGGTTCTAGATCATCTTTTCAATCCCATGTTTAACTCCTTGATTTTCCTGCCTCCCCCTTCCACACCCCAGCCCCCCACTCAAACCCTCTGGTCTAACCAAATAGGTTTATACTTTGATGTCTGGAAATGATATGTACCTGTATCAGTCTCCTTGCCTTCACTCTAGTAGCAATAATCGTTTTCATTGAAAACTTCTTTTCTCTATATTCTTCCTATCCCAGCTCTCCCAGGTCACCATGCCATGCTCACTCTGTACTCAGATCTCAAAGAGCACCGTGGCTTCTCCCACTCACATAGCACTTAGCACATGGCAGTTGCCACTAAGTCCCTTAAAACTTAGTATTTAACTCTAGATTCTGACTCCACTGCTAGATTACAAACTTCAAGAAAGTGGGATTTGCTCTTATACATCACTGTGGCCTCACAATCTAACAAAATAGGAGGACTGGATCTGGAGCCTAAAGAACTGGCAGGTGGTAAGTAGTTAACGCTGTCCTTTACCAGCTCTGTGCTCTTGCATTATTCAACTTGTCTTCCTTTTGGTCTCAGTTTCTCGTTCATAAATTGGAGAAAATTCTTGTTTATTTACCTGGCAGTAAGCCTTGGGGTCACACTTGACTCCCCACTACCTCTCCCTCCAAAGTCCAATTCTGCCAGCTTCCCCTCTACAGTACATCTTGGATAAAACCACTTCCCTCCACCTCCAATATGCCCACCTTGGCCCAAGTTCCATCATATGCCCCCTGGATGCTGCAATGGTCACCCTGCTTCCATCCTCCCACACTCACCTGATGCTTCCTACAATCTCTTTCCATGTGATCTTTTAAAGCTTATGCCAGAGAGTGTCCCTGCTCTGCTCAGAAACAGAAGTTGAGTCACAAATGTAGAAAACACACTTGTGGTTACTGGGGGGAAAAGGGGGAAGGGATAAATTGGGAGACTGGGATTGACATATACACACTACTAGATATAAAATAGATAACTAATAAGGACCTACTGTATAGCACAGGGAACTCTACTCAATACTCTGTAATGGCCTATATGGGAAAAGAATCTAAAAAAGAGTGGATATATATGTACGTATAACTGACTCACTTTGCTGTACAGCAGATACTAACACAACATTGAAAATCAACTATACTCCAATAAAGAATTTTTAAAAATAAATATTTAGCTTTAAAAACAGTAAATAAATATGGCTTAATTTCGGATTAAAAAAAAAAAGAGAAAGAAAAAGAACTTGCCAGTGCCCTAGGATCTCACTTGGAATGAAAGGCAAAGTCCTTACCAAGGTGCCTCTCAGCCCATCTCCTCTGCTTTGCTCTGACCTCCGCTCCAGCCATTGCCTCCTTCTCGCTCCTAGGACATGCCAAGCATGCTCCCGCCTCAGAGCTCAGAGCTCACTCTCCCTCTGCCTGGCGTGGCCCTGCTCACATAGCTGCATGGCTCTCTTCCTCACTTCCTTCAGTTCTCTCTGTGTCTTCAGGCCATTTTGTCAGAGAGGACTTACCAGTGGCCCTATCTTAAAAAGCACCCTCGCGCATACACTCTTTCTTTAGTCCCTTACCTTGCTTTACTTCTCTTCAGAGCTTGTATCACCGATGACACGTATTTATGTGTTTATGTATGTAGCTTCTGTCTTTCCTCTACTAGAACGTTAACCTCTTGGGAGCAGATGCCTTGTTTTGTTTACTACTATATCCCCAGGACCTTGAGGGGTACCTGGAACATAGTGGGTAGGTGCTCAATAAATATCCATTAAATAAATGAACAGATGAATAGGTACAGGTGTGTCTACTTGAGACCCTAAAGTTTGAGTCCACGGTTCTCCATCTTGGCTGCCCATTAAAATCCAGTGGGGAATTTTAAAGAATGTTGATGTCCAGATCACAACCTAGGCTATTTAAATCAGAATTTCTTGGAGGGGAGCCCAGGTACTGGTACCTTTTAAACACTCCCTAAATGTTTCCAATGTATAAACAAGATTGAAAACCATTGTTCCGTAGCATATAAAATAGTGTTTGTGTTCTAATGGTCTTTGTGTTCCTGGCTAGCTCCTCACTAGCTAAGTATTTTGTACAATTTCAATTACTTAATAAATACTTTTTGAGTGGTGATTTAAGAAATGTCACTTTTAGTGCCTAGAGTAGTTTGTGCTCTGGGAAAATCTCAATACTATTTTGCTTGGTTGGATTTATATCTGTATCTTGCTTAGAAAAAGATGGCTGGAGAGTGGAACCATAAGAATGGAGCAGCTGCTCCCTGCCAGGTACTCTGCCAGTTACCAAACATACAAATCCCATAAAATACTCACGTAACCAGGGTAATATTTTTGGTATGGTAAACCAATGTATTTTTTTTTTATTCTTGGCAAATTACTTTGCCCAGTGGCTCCCACCAGATTGAATCAGAGGCAATTTATTGCTTTAGGTAAAGGTAGGTGGAGTAAACTAGATTCGTTCAGCTCAGATAAGACAACAATCTTGAAAGCTGGGTTTGTAGGGAGAAAAAAGAATTCGATAAATACCCAAAATTTCCCTTTAATAGAAATAAGAAAACTTGCCGGACTGACCAGTAGGTCCTGGAACGTTTTGGTCTCAGGACCCCTTGCACTATGACAAATGAGTATAACCCCCCACAAAGAGTTTTTGTTTGTTAAGGTCAGCTCTATTAATAGTTATCATATTTGTAAATTAAAATTAAGATGTTTTTCAAATGTTTATTAATTCATTTAAAAATAATAATATTAAACCCATTACATGTTATTAAAGTAAATATTTTATGAAAATAATTATATTGTCTAAAACAAAAAAGTGACTTTTAAAAAACATTTTTGCAGGGCTTCCCTGATGGCGCAGTGGTTGAGAGTCCGCCTGCCGATGCAGGGGACACGGGTTCGTGCCCCGGTCCGGGAAGATCCCACATGCCGCGGAGCGGCTGGGCCCGTGAGCCATGGCCGCTGAGCCTGCGCGTCCGGAGCCTGTGCTCCGCAACGGGGGAGGCCACAACAGTGAGAGGCCCGCATACCGCCAAAAAAATAAAAAAAAAAGTTTTGCAAATCTCGTTAATGTCTAGTTTAATGAGACAGTTGTATTTTCATATCTACTTCGGTTTCAATCCATTGTTTTGGTTGAAGGATATAAAGAAAATCCAACTTTACACACATATGTAGCTCAAAAAAGCAAGCGTGTATTATCATAACCATCCCAGGTTATTGTGGAATTTTTCTTTGATACTACACCAGAACCCAACAAGTGGCAGTTTCTTAAAGTTTAGTTGCAGCATGGGATCTGAGACCATATCAGTAAATCTTCGTTCTCTGTTATGGTAAAATCAATTGATTAATCTTGCACTCTGAATAGATCTTTACTCATGAATGCTTTTGCAACATCATGCATTGGTCTTTTGGAAAATATGAATGCACTAAGTTATGCAGATCTTCCAAATGTTGACATATTTCATTACTCAATATTTTAAAAATCACATTTGTTAATATCAGTACCCACTGCATCAGAAATGTCTTTAAGTATTGGGAAGCCAGTTCACAGTGGCGGATATAAGATTTCTAAAATTCTAATTTTCACTTGAAAGCTCAGATTTTATCATTGGCAACAAATGCTCTCACGTGTTCATGAAGTGAGAGGCTCACTTTGTTCATTTTCGAGAAAATGTTGTCCAAATGCCCAGGTCTGAATAGCTATACAATCATTCTTTCAAGTAAAAGTGATGTTCCAAGGAAAAAGAGACCAGTTCAAAATGTTCACAGTGTGATGCTGCTCCCTGGGGAAACCACTGTGGTCCAGTAAGTAGCAGCAGTGCTTTCTGCATACTTCCTGTCTGTTCCATAAAATATTAAAAACATGTGTACTCAAGGGTTGAGATTTAATAGCGTTAATACTTTTTATTGCTTCATCAAGGATATTCTTTAGTTAAATTGACATTTTTTTTAGTGTGAGTCGGTGACAGTGAAAAACACGATGAATACTAACAGTGTTCGGTGCCATTGACTTGATTTTTGCTAAAATGCTAGCAATCTTACCCAGGGCGGTTTTTGCAACATTAATGAAAATGTCAATACATTTTTTTAAATAGATCTTTACTGGAGTATAATTACTTCACAATACCGTGTTAGTTTCTGTTTCACAACAAAGTGAATCAGCCATATGCATACACTTGTCCCCATATCCCTCCCTCTTGAGCCTCCCTCCCACCCTTCCTATCCCACCCCCCTAGGTCATCGCAAAGCACCAAGCCGATCTCCCTGTGCTATGCTCCTGCTTCCCACCAGCCAACTATTTTACATTCAGTAGTATATATGTCAATGCTACTCTCACTTCACCCCAGTCTTGCCTTCCCACCCCATGTCATCAAGCCCACTTTCTATGTCTATCTCTTTATTCCTGCCCTGAAACTAGGTTCATCAGTACCATTTTTTTTTTTTTTAGATTCCATATACATGTGTTAGAACACGGTATTTGTTTTTCTCTTTCTAACTTCACTCTGTATGACAGACTCTAGGTCCATCCACCTCACTACAAATCACTCAATTTCATTTCTTTTTATAGCTGAGTAATATTCCACTGTATGTATGTGCCACATCTTCTTTATCCATTCATCTGTCGATGGATGTTTAGGTTGGTTCCATGTCCTGGCTATTGTAAATAGTGCTGCAATGAACATTGTGGTACATGTCTCTTTTTGAATTATGGTTTCCTCAGGGTATATGCCCAGTAGTGGGATTGCTGGGTCTTATGGTAGTTCTATTTTTAGTTTTTTAAGGAACTTCCATACTGTTTTCCATAGTGGTTGTATCAAATTACATTCCCACCAACAGTGCAGGAGGGTTCCCTTTTCACCACACCCTTTCCAGCATTTATTGTTTCTAGATTTTTTGATAATGGCCATTCTGACCAAAGTGAGGTGATACCTCATTGTAGTTTTGATTTGCATTTCTCTAATAATTAGTGATGTTGAGCATCTTTTCATGTGCCTCTTGGCAATCTGTATGTCTTTTTTTTTTTTTTTTGCTGTACGCGGGCCTCTCACTGTTGTGGCCTCTCCCTCTGTGGAGCACAGGCTCCGGGCGCACAGGCTCAGCAGCCATGGCTCACAAGCCCAGCCGCTCCAGGACACGTGGGATCCTCCGGGACCGGGGCACGAACCCGTGTCCCCTGCATCGGCAGGCGGACTCTCAACCACTGCGCCACCAGGGAAGCCCTTCTGCCCATTTTTTAATTGGATTGTTTGTGTTTTTGATATTGAGCTCCATGTGCTGTTTTGTATATTTTGGAGATTAATCTTTTGTCTGTTGTTTCACATGCAAATATTTTCTCCCATTCTGGGGGTTGTCTTTTTGTCTTGTTGATGGTTTCCTTTGCTGTGCAAAAGCTTTTAAGTTTCATTAAGTCCCATTTGTTTATTTTTATTTCTGTTACCCTAGGAAGTGAGTCAAAAAAGATCTTGCTGTGGTTTATGTCAGAGTGTTTTTCCTTTGTTTTCCTCTAAGGGTTTCATAGTGTCTGGTCTTACATTTAAGTCTTTAATCCATTTGGAGTTTATTTTTGTGTATGGTGTTAGGTAGTGCTCTAATTTCATTCTTTTACATGTAGCTGTCCAGTTTTCCCAGCACCACTTATTGAAGAGGCTGTCTTTTCTCCATTGTATGTTCTTGCCTCCTTTGTCATAAATTAGGTGCCCATATGTGTGTGGGTTTATCTCTGGGCATTCTATCTTGTACCATTGATCTATATTTCTGTTTTTGTGCCAGTACCATACTTCAATACATTTTTAAAAGGCAAATAATGTCTTAATATTTATTACAATAGTTTTATGTTTCATGGACCCACAGAAAGGGTCTCAGAACCCTCAGGAGTCCACATACCACACTTTCCCCTAGAGTAATCAGAAAGATGTGTTGTAAAGGAAGCTTCATTCCTGATAGCTTCCAGGAAGGAAGGAAGACCTCTGGTCCCTCTGTGTGGAACTAAGAGGAGAGAGGAAATAAATGGCAGGTGAGCCCATCTCCTTCAATTTCTTAGGATGGAGACATATGGCAAGGACATGGTGTTTGAAACAAACAGAAAGATCTGAGGTTATTTCTCTAAGGAAGAAGCCTTGTTTCTGCTTCCCAGGGCATAACTCAGAAAAATATCAGTCTCCCAAGAAAGCCTGATATTCAGCATAGCATGGGGCCAACATGGTGCTGCCCAAATGTGATTAAAAATGGTTCATGCATAACATCATATTTAATGGTGAAAGACTGAGTGCTTTTTATCTAAGACTAGAAAGAAGGATGTTCCCAGCAAAGATGTCTGCACTCATCACTCTGCTCTCATTCAACAGAGTACTAGAAGTTCTTGCCATTGCAATAAGGCAAGAACATTTTTAAAAGGCATGCAGATTGGAAAGGAAGAAATAAAACTGTCCCTATTTGCAAATGACGTGACTGTCTACATAGAAAAGCTCAAGGAATCTATAAAAGAAGAAAGAAAAACAAACCTCTTAAACATAAGGAGTGAATTAAGAAAGGCTGTAGGATACATAATTGACATACAGAAATTAATTACATATTCTATATTCTAAAAAAGGACTTGTGGAAACAGAGATTAAAAACACAGTGCCATTTACAATTGTGTCCAAGAAAATGCAATACTCAGGTATAAACTTGACAAATCATGCATAGGGTCTGCATGATGAAAATTACAAACTGATGATAAAAGAAATCAAAAAATACCTAAATTAATGGAGATACATAATGTGTCCATGGATTAGAAGATGCAATGTGTATTAAAGATGTCAATTCTTCTCAAACTGATCTTAGATTTAATGTTATTTCTATCAAAATCCAGCAAGCTTTTTGTAGATGTAGACAAGCTTATTCTAAAACTTATATGAAAAGTCATAGGCCCTACAATAGCTAAAAGGACCTTAACAGAGAAAAATAGTGGGAAGAATGAGTGCTTGATGGTAAGGCTTACTATATAGCTCCAGTAATCAAGACGGTGTGGTATCAAGACAGTGAGAACAGGCATATACATCTATGTACCAGAATAGAAAAACCCAGAAATAAACCCACACATATTTGTGCAATTCTTTTCCATAGAAAGTGAATTCCAGCTGTAATGAAATATGCACACAGGAACTAATAACAGTAAACTACATCAAGTATAATTCTGACCATGAATGAATTTTAAAAATTGAGATGTAATTCACACATGAAAAATTCACCTTTTTAAAGTATACAGTTCAGTGGTGTTTAGTATATTCATGAAGTTGTGAGACTGCCACTACTATCTAATTCTAAAACATTTCCATCACCCCCAAAAGAAAGCCCATATCCATTATCCATTAGTACTCACTCCTCATTTCCCTTCTCTGTTGAGCGCTGTCAACCACTAATTTACTTTCCTTCTACAGACTTACCTACTTCGAGCATTTCATATAAATAGAAACATATGATAAGTGTATTTCTGTGTCAGGCTTCTTTCATGGGCCAGAGAGAGCCCAGGGGGCAGCCCAAGGACCTAAAGTGGGTCCAGCACCCACCATGTCCACACTGATACCTAGATGATGTCCAACAAGGATCCTGATCAGCCCCAGGAGAAATCCTAAATTGAACTCAAAGCCTCAAAAGACTGACCACTTACTCAGAGGTGACTGACTTAATCTGAAAGGGAATATTTTAAACCAGAAGAGACTAAGATACTCATACTGACCAGTGTGAGTTTTCTTCTTCCCCTTTCATGGGGGAATAGGGAAGCTCCAAAACAGAATGAGATCAGTTATGGAAAATAAGGAACACTCTCTTTTTTGAAAATCTGAGTCATAGCATTTAAGCTCCAGTCTTCTCTGCTCTTAGCAATTCCAGTTTCAAGA